ACACACACACACACACACACACACACACACACACACACACACACACACACACACACACACACTCACACACACACAAAAGCTCTAAAACTCAGTACCACCACGACATGCATAAATTAAAAAAAAACAACCAAAAACTGACAGATATTATTATTTCAGAGATATAGAGTTCCAGCATTATAAATATCCTGAAAAACATTGTCTTCATCTTTGATTTAGATCGATCAATGGAAAGAGACATTTAAACATCTCCAAATCCAAATTGTTCATAAATTTTGGGGCACAGGGGGAAAAGGCCCTTTTACCCAACATTGTTCTGGACCTAGGCATGCAGAGCTGATGGTCATTTGAAGATCTTAAATTACAAGATGGTGCATACATTTCCATAAGTTCTGAAACTGAAAGGTTATTTGGTGAGCACTGATGTAAAGTTCTTTAAAGCATGCACACAATTTTAAATTCAATGTGCTCTCTCACTGGCAACCAATGAAGGGTTTTCAAAATATCATGAGCATAGTCTGAAAATTTTCTCAAAGTTACAAGTCTTGCCGCCCTGTTTTGAATCTTTTGGAGTCTGGCAAGCGTAGAATCTGGAATGACAAAAAGAAGGGAATTACAATAATCAAGGTGACTTAAAATAAAAGCATGAACAATAATTTTTGTTGTATTTTTTTTCAATAAATGTTCTTATTCTGCCTATGTTTCTAAGATGGCAGAGCATGGTTTCACAAATTCTAGTGACGTGCGTTTTCATGGAAAAATCAGGGTCAAAATAAAAACCAAGATTTCGTAAGGCACTTATTGATTTTTCCAACATAACAGTTGTATTGCCTAGATCCAAACTCTCAAATTGTACATTTGTTCTTAACACTTTTGCCTCACAAGGCTCATATAGTAAAAACCTTTGCCATCAAAGGCAAAGGCATTTTGGGGAAAATCCAAAGAAACGGGGAGGGGGTTAAACATCGTCGATCAGCGAGATGTGGTGGCAAAGTGTTAAGTGATTTGTTCCCGTTAACATTATTTTTGTTATGTTTTCGTTAAGTTTAAGTTTAATGTCAAACATCCGGTCTTTGATATCTTGAAGACAGTTTTGAAGGGTTGAAATCTGTTGATCTTCTTCTCCCCGGTTGATTGGTATGTACAGATGGGTGTCATTGGCTTACACGTGATGTTCTAATTTATGTTGCCTAACAATGTCAGACAATGGAGTTGTGTAGAGTAAATAACACAGGTCCAAGGACTGAGCCTTGAGGGGGTCCAAAATGAAGCTGAAATGACGATGATCTCACGCTGCCAGCCTCTGATGTACGATTACCATGAGAAGATGTAAATTGAACTGATTGGGATCGGTCTTGAGATAGGATTCCAGCCATTTGAGTGCTGATCCTCCGATGCCGTGGTATACTCTGAGCCGCTGCAAATAAAATGTCTTGATCGATGGTGTCAAACACTGCACTCGGGTCAAGCAAAATAAGGGCTGTACACTGTTTTTGATAAGCGTATCGGATGATGTCGTTGTGTACTCTAAGGAGGGCAGTCTCTGAGCTGTGAAATTCTCTATAGGCTGATTGAAATTTGGCGGCAAGACCCTCGGTTGAAAGGTAGTTCTTATGCATAATTCTGAAACATTTGCATAATTTGAGATTCCCTGCGTTTTTTCATGTTTTTGAATAAAATGTTTCAAAAAACAATTTAACGCCTCGCCATGTGACTAAAGGGAAGTAATCACAGTAATAGGTCTCATTTAAGTGAAAAGTTTGTTATTTTCCTTGATAGTGGTTTTTGTTCCGTGAGCATGTTCAATTTTTGAGTCCTTATTAGTGTTAGTATTAGAATTAGTAGTGTATGTTATTAATCCTATCCGTACGTCGTGTTTTACTATCGTATCCATACGACGTGGGGAACTCTGTGCCACCACTTTCCAAAGTGGAAATTTACTCGTTAATCCGACCCTAGGACTACGATTTGCATAGAAGTCTGCCAAAATGCTTTTTTGAGAAATACTGATAGTTTCAAAGAGACCTTCGAACTAGAAGTATTCTAAAATGTGAAGAATACAAGGGGGGGGGGGGGGGGAAACAAAATGACCCCAGGGCGCACAACCACGAGCACACACAGTGCACAGCATCCACTCAGCAGAATGATATCTCCTTTCTCCAACACACTGCGTACTAGCACTCATATACAATGTATATGAAATATATATATATATATATATATATATATATATATGTATATATATATATATATATATAGGCCTGCATGTGTACATTATATATAATATATAGTCGAACCTGTGTAAGACGGCCACCCATTGTCAAGGAGAAAAGTGGCCGTCTTAGGCAGGACTGATCAAGATGAAGAAAACATTAAACCATTCCTTTCTGAGGTCCCAACCGAAGGTAGCCGCATTGTTGTTGTTGTTGCTGTTGTTGTTTTTGTTTTCGCTGGGTTTTATTTAGTAATACAAAAAAAAAATTGCTGCTTTTGTGCAATGGTTACAATAAAACGAAATGTGTCAGATAAGGAGGACCGAGTGCTATGGCAAAACGTACACGTATTGCCACCACGCGGAGAACGAGCGACGCTTCTGTTACAAGTTCATGTTGACGTCCATCGTTACTTTGTAACAGACTGGGTAAACAGTGACCACTCATCTTATTTACGATTAGTGTATGAGTTCTGGGTGGGGCTTATGGGTTAAGAGGGATCACACGCTTCCCTCACCAGCAGCTGAAAATGTGTTACAGTACTGTTACCTATTGGTCAACAGTGGGAGGGGCCTACATAACATGATCGGTTGGAGGGACTATCCTAACAATAACGACAGGTGATTGGATTATGACGGCTCGCCCACAACGCCAGGGGCAAATGCATGATTTATGACAAAACGTAATGGAGTCGCTTAGGCGGCCGTCTAAGACAGGTGCTATTATTTGGTGTGATAGGGGTTGTGTGTTGAAATATGGTGGCTGTGGCTGCGTTGGACAGGTGCCCATTCTACACAGTTAAATTATACAGAAAAAACGCAAGAGGGGAAATGGAAAGTGGCCATTTGTACGGGTGGCCGTCATGGCAGGTTGGACTGTATATATATAAAGAGAGAGATAGAAAGAGAGGAGACTCCACCCTGAAGCCTCCATTTTCTCTGCTCTGCGGAGGCCACTGCCTGACCCCGCAGAAAATTCCCCTAATATGTACATCTTTCCTTATCGGATCCTTGCGGACTTTCTGTCTTGCATCACCACTCTTACAAACTATACACTCGTACATCCAAAAATAGTAAGGTTACAACAAAAAATACACCCTTTGACTGAAACCTGAAAAAATATCGTGTTCGCATGGCTACCTAGCCATGTTGGCATCCGGGAAAACGAGCAGGTGGATCTCCTGGCAAAGGAATCCTTGTCCCTTCTGTTGGGATCAACGACGAACACTCTCCCACAGACTGACTTTTAAAAAATAGTAAAAAAACTATGCCTCCAGTCTGTGGGAGATATATTGGAAGAAACAAACACCAAACTTCACAACATCATGATCAAACTGGGACCACGAAAACTTTCGGGCATCTACAGAAGAGGCGTAGTCATTTTTACTCAATTACGCATCGGACACACCTGCCAGACACATGAATACCTCCTTCACGGAGATGAAAAACAATTCTGTGTCAGATGCGACACAGATTTCACGATTAGTTCGGATTAGGCACATCTTAACAGAATGTCCAGACTTTGAAGAAACCCAAAGGAAATATTTTAAATGCAAAAAAATTGCAAGATCTGTTCTCCGTCCTTGATCTCAACAGAATTCTCGATTTTATGAAGGCCTCGGCCTTTTGGTAGATAGCGTTATTTTAAATATGATTTAAATTGTTATTTCAAAACTGAGATTTTACTACAAATTTTAAACATTTTAATCGAAATATTGACCTAAACTAAGCCGTGCTGTGAACTGTTGTGAATGCAACTAACTTGTGTTTTGTGTGCTCATATTACCTTATGCGAGCGCCGTAAAACCCTTACTAAACTAATATAAATATATATAAATAAGAAACACAAGGGTGGCAGTTTGGTTTCTCGGTTGAACACCTTCAGAATTTATTATTCAAATATTGGACAATGAACTGCGATTAATTTTGAAAAGGCACAAATCTGGCAAGAAGTATGAATATAATAATAAGCTGCAAGGTATAATTTTGAAACTTGATATCAATGCAACATATACTACTGCTCATTTTTGAAAAAGCATTAAGAAGTTTTGATCATGGAATTCATTACTTAAATGAATAGGGTAAGTGTTGCAACCATAAATTCACGTACAATACACAGATCTCTATAAAAGTGATAAAAATAAAAGTAAAAGAAAGCCTTAAATCACGTGTCACAAAATCAAACCAAATTCACAAAAAAATAGCCTTCTGGTTATAACTACGACTCTGTGGATTTAAAATCTAAGGACACTATCGCGAGTCCATTACATAAAATCATAAAATGACGAAGTCGGTCTACTTGCATCACACCCCCCCCCGCAAAAATTTGCAATTGTACAAGTGTATGTGTCTTATCATGAAACGATTAAAGTAAAAGAATAATTTTGTAAACTGGTGGTCATGGAGTTCAGGCTTAGGGGCTAAGACCAAAGTTGACATGCCATTTAAGCGAGCGACACTGGGTGTGTCCTTGAGCAAGACATGATAATTGCAGCTAAAAAAATATCCTACAGGGCAGTGATAATGAATGTGTTTCTGAAATTATGTCTATTGGTGGGGTACTTGCCATAATAACTACCTCTGGTTCAGCAAAAAGGGGGAGAGGGCATAGTGCAATTTGGCTCCCAATTTTGGATACGTAACTGTTAGAATTCACTGATGGTTGACTTACCTAAGTCTAGATTAAACTGAAGAAACGTGTGCTTAGCTAGAACAATAAAACTTAGCAAATGGATCCACCGATTTTCACTACATGATCTTTAGACTATGATGTTTAAGAAAACTGAATGAGCTCAATTTAGAACATTAGCACATGTTGAGCATTGCAAAGAGCTTTAAAAATGTTTAAAATTTGCTGTGTAACTGGAAGGGGGAAAAACCCAGAGAATTGGCCACATTATCCCTTTGCTGATTCTGATGAAGAATTGAACGTAGGCCTATAGTATGACACGGATAGCTCGAATTCGTTGGGACCGGCCTCAATAGTTCAAGGGATCTGTAGTTCGAGGGATATCTTACAAAGATAAAGAAGAAGAAAAAGTGGGACCACGGGCACAGTCGACAGATGCCCGACTTCAAGTCTTCTGTGTTCGACCTATCCGTGTTATACTGTATGAAGAATGTATGCATGTATGGTTATGTGTGAGTAGTAGCCTATGTTCCAACATTCTCAGGATCTTTCTTTGAAACTATTGTACATAAAACGCTTGAGGCATTCTTTACATCAGCAGTCTCAAATAAAATTATATAGGAATAATCCCTTTATGTGTTGTTTAGAAGGCAAAACGGAATGTCATAACAGCACTGTCAAAACATAAACTAGCATTCTGCATAAATTAGACACAGACATTCAAGAAAGACAACTGCAAGATTCCTGAGCAAAGCAGATATCAACTTTCCTTATTCAATGCTTCAATGCATATTGTCTTTATTAGAGTAATTTAGAGAAAAACCTGTTTCTGAGTGCTGGTACTGGTGGTACCTCAAGATATTAAAAGAACTTACTGTATGTGTCTATCTATGACATGATTTCACATACAATATGGGGGTATACTTTGACTCCAAAATCTCCTTTTTTTTTGGTGTAGGTTGGCCATTTAATATGAGGAGCGTTTTTGACATGGATAAGGCTCAACATATGAGACCAAGTAGTCAGGCATCAAATGAAGTGTCTTAGTCATACCTTTCAGTACTGTTGGTTGTTATTTGAGATTGATGTTATTTGTAAGACTGGAGTGGAACATAAAACACTGATGTGTTATTGATGGGTAATTGGTAATTACTTATGCAGTTGTAAGCGCTGCACGACTCTTACTAAAACAAACAAAACAGTAATTACTGCTAGGTAGAATGTTACAATCAAATCTGTCAGAAAAAGCACAGGGCAATTCTGTGGTATGAATCAAACCAGTTAAATTTAGGCTATCAGATATATATTATAATCAGTTTCACTGCACTTTAAACTACTACATTTCAGGCAAAAGTGATAATAGTTGAATCAAATAAAATATGAAATGCATCAAGGAAACATTAATAAAGCAGTCAAAACATGTAAGTAAATAAACAAAGAATTTTTTCAAATTACAACACAAATGAATGTTCAATGGATAAATGGACGGAAATCAAGAGCAGATGGACAAAAATTGAGCCTGAATGACACAGATTAAGGTTTTGTCACAGCTGATTTCATTCAGACTATAATTGCACTAGGTTCATATTTTGACAATCTAACACTAACAGTAACATAAAATCACACAGAAATACGCTTATTTGTAGATAACATAAGAAAAAGTGTAGAAAAATCTTGCCAACTGCATATGAGATTCTCATTGCAAGAATGTTGTAGTGAAGTCTGAACTGACTGACTGAAAATACAGAAATATATGTGTGCATACACCAAACCAAACTGGAGAACACAAATTCCTCTAGCTGATTAAATTTATTTCATCTCTATATAATGTATATGTACTTTGCATGTATTTCTTGACAAACTAAAAAACGAATGCTGATAACTTAAAATATTTTTACAACTGATTACTCATGATATAATAAAGAAACAACATTTAAACCAGGGATAAGTGATCAAGTAAGTCGGTTGCAGTCGGGAGGGAGGATGAAATTTTATTACATTGACATTTAAAAAAGCTGCTGAACAAAAGATATGGGGGGGGGGATTCTAATTTACATTTTTTTAGGTCATGTGCAATGTGTACAGAAGCAATGAGATGGCTGTGCAGTGTAAAAAGGAATTGTGAGCAGAAGGTTACTTTTGCAGTCCCTATCAATCAGAGACGCATGCCGCTGTGTTCACACCGACAATCATTGCCCTATTAACATTGAAGCAAGTGCATAAAAAAGTGATTCAACTGTCATGGTGAAAATAACAATAACTTAACCAAATGCTGTTGCTTTGAAATAGAAAACTATCCATTTTGCAACTGAATCATATATCTAAATTTATGAAACAAATACAATTGTAATTGCACATAAATCAAATAGTAAGATGTGGTCCAGACAACACTGAAGTATCCATGCCTGACAATACACCAAAAATTAAAAGTGTATTCTCAAGAAAAAAATATTTAGCTTTCTCTTCTCCTTTCACAAAGAGAAAAAAATCAGCAACTCATGCTGCTGAAGAGAAAAAAATTAAATTTGTTGGTGTAAATTCAGAAAATATCTCTTATTCTATTCACATAAAATAAAAGTTATTTTGATTAATAATATTCATATCATGGTATTAACTCTTTTTAGAGTTATCATCTTGTTTGAGATTTTGTAAAGTTCCATTTAATCTCAAGGGTTAAGTTCAAGTTTTGATCAGCCACAGACAAGTGTACAGTAACTAAAGAGAATGGCGCTCAAGAGGAATACTACATGTGCCGTAAAACTCTCACTAAAAAAGAAGACATCGATTTTAAAACGGTGAGTCATTGTTTCTTAGATATATAATTCAAGGATCAATACAACACCTAAATCCTGACTAATTGCATCAATGGAAATAAGTGTTCAAGACACTTCCTAAACAAGATTTTCCATACTTACGCATGTATTATTTCTATAAACTTTCAAAATGAGAGTAAAGACAGGAAAACCATGCATATTTTCTCCTTTCTCATGAGAGTATTAGCCAGAGTCTGTTTGCATTTTGTACAAGTATATTGAGGTATTCAATGCACAAATAGTGGCCCAAAGTTTGAGTTTGAGAACAATGAAAAAAAAAAGCAGTTCATAATCACATTATAGATGTCTCACAATACTGTACAGCTGCGTGAACTCTTGTGATCTCCTTCTGCTGCCTTCTTCGACTGGGCTTGTTTAAGTTTTTTCCCTTTTCGTGCTGGATCTGTCAATGTTGTCGCCATCTTGTTTGTTTTTGCACTCTTCTCCACTCTACCATCTTTCACTGTTTCCTTGAGATGACCTGAGGTGTCCTTCTGTATTCCATTTTTTTCTGCTGCCTCTGCACTTGGCAATGACCTAAACCAGGCCGAGCCACCGAGCTCTGAAGTTGGATCACCTCCTCTTTTCAAAATCTCATTCTCCTTCCTCATTAGTTCTCGTGCTTCTTTCACTAAAATGGCTACGTCTTGTGACGTTATTGGATGCTGCCGGATAATTGTAGCACTGAATTCTAATGTCACTTCATTCACTGTGTTAGAGAAAGTCAAATATAACAGAGCATTATATTTTAAGTTTAAATGGTATGCACACAAAGGTAATCATAGAAACAGAGGGGTAAAAAAAAATCAAGTTTATCATTATTACATAATGTATTTTACTTCCAGCAAATTGCTACACCCTGGCATCTATGGAGACAGGATTAGGCCTGACACTCAAGGTTAAACCAGCCTGCATTGCGAACAATCTAAATAGTGTCAAAGAGGGCAAAACACAATTTATAGTCAATCAAGTCATACTACAGGCTCCAAATCAAATCTTTTCTTTCTATCATGAGTCCACAAGAAGGTTCATGTGTACATAAGTCCATTCATCATTATAATCATTGCGTTTTCTCACCCTGGATCAGGGTATAGGCTATGATCAAACACTTTCCACCTTTCCCTACATGAATCCATTGCCATTTGTATTTGTGGGTGTTTGAGTGTATGTGTGTCTACATAAGTATGTACAAATACGTGTGTGTGTGTGTGTTTTGTGTGTGTGTGTGTGTGTGTGTGTGTGTGTGTGTGTGTGTGTGTGTGTGTCTGTGTGTGTCTGTGTGTGGTGGGACTGACCAAGAGGAGAATAGGAATGTATTAACTGACCAGCCTTTCTGGAGCATTACGAAGTTACATAAAAAATGTTAAATTTTACATAGCATTATAAAAGTTCACTATACTACTTCTCTAATCACTTACATTCAGGTGGTAAAACAACCAGGGGATAGAATCCACCGGGAGGCTGATAGACGACCCTGACCAGGAGAATTTTGCGGTTGACTGTCAGGTAACAAATGACTAGCTGTTCCTCGTCATGATGGATGCTCTCATCTATGTACAGTAGGCCCCAGCCCACCAGATCCCCAACCTGGACCAGGGCACTTGCTGAGAGACATCAATAAAAATACTGTTAGAATTTAGAATGCCCAGAAATATTATAAGAATGATTTTTAACTTTGCAGGTGTGAGGTCTTGGTCTCTGTGGAACAATGTGCAGTACATAACACCTCAGTTATATCTATTATGTAACGTATCAGGATTTAGAAACCACCTTTCTTTTACTCAGGAGTCACTTTTCGGTTACAGTGTACTAGAGGACAAAAAATAACACAAAGAGCACTTTCAAGCGTGCATTTCTCTGCTCTCTCTAAATCTGTTTGCACCCACAAAACTGAGCAATATTACAATCTCCTAGCACTAGGGAAAACTTATCACAGTAAAATGCTTCTCTTTCCACACAAAGCTATACAGTCGACTCCACTTGTTTTGAACTCGCATGAGTCAATCTTCGGTTAAGTTGATCTTTTTCTTTGGTTCCAGCACCTCTTCTTCTTTACAGTTCCCAATGGTTCAGTTGAATTTTGGATGACCCTGACAATATCAACTCATCCTTAGTCGACTGTATCAACCTTAGTGGAACATACTATATATATAAAAAGGTGAATATCCCAATTACTAGCTCTGACAAAAAATTATGTTTATGCTCAAACTTGGCAAAGAACCCTATAAGATTTGAAAACAACAAAACATTTATAGCAGGCCTACCTTCATTCACAGCCCAAAACCGTAAAAAATCCAGTTTCAGACAAGAATTAGGCGGAGGATCCAAAGGCGTTGCAGTGGACAACACCACCGCTGGAGGTGGACAATCAGGTCCAAAGTTTTTAGTCAGTTGAACTTCAAAATGATTGTAACCTGAAATTAAAATGTTATGTCACACATAAAAAGGGACTCATAAATGTATTTTAAAAATGCTTATACTTTCGAGCAGTTTTAAATCTGACCAGTGACATTGGTGAACAAATTAATTTTAACTAGTCATGGATACTATTTAAACTATTCACTATGTTTTCAAATGAGGATAAACCTTTTAACTTAAAGAATGTCTCAGACGTACTTCTTCTTAGATAAACTGAATAAAGCACATTATTTTAATTAGCAACACAAAAGTTCCTTTAACAACATGTGTTTCCTTCAGGAAGAATGTTTAGACAAAAACACAAAAGAGGAAAGTGACTGACATGCATCTGAATGAAGAAAATAATTTCTTTTGCACAGTACTTTTGCAAAGCTTTCAGAATGCAGAAGATGATGTTTGTAATTAATTCACTTCAGAACATTCAGCCGAAATCATTCCAGTTTAATTAAAACTTATATGTCTGGTAATTTTCATCCACAAAAAATCAAAGAGCTTGAAAATTGTAAAAAAATAAAAGGTTAGTTAAGCTATCTTTATCTGAGGGGAAAAGTTCACAGTTGATTAAAATAAACCTAAACAAATCAAGCTTAGGCCTTGAGTAAAGAGCTGTCTGTCAGATCAACCAATCAAATTGGTGCAAAAAGACTGTAAATATCAGATTTTGTGTCCAAAAGCCTCACAAGTCTAGCCATCTTGTACTGATATTCTTTATGCAATTAAAAGAAAAGAATCTCAAATGTTTAAGCTGGATGATGTGTGTGAATGCAGAACAGAAATTGGTGCAACTAATAAAAGTTGGACTGCCCTAGAAAAAGCCCAAACCGCAGATAAGTTTTTATCATCATATGTGTTCAACTCTCTTAGAAAAGTGGGATTTGAGGTAAACTGGGAAACTATTGGAGGAATGAAGTGTGATATAGACATCTGTACAAAAACTCATATAATGAAAATTTTAAAAAGACACAGTGCCTTTGTGAAGACTATAGGGTGCTTGTATTGACACTGGAGTAGAGTGATCTTTCACATGAACTGTGTTTGTCGCTCGATCAACCACTGATCCGGGAGGAAGACACCAATGCTGCAGATCAACCTGTAGAATGAATGAACGAACAAACAAATGAATGAATGAATGAATGAATGAATGAAAGGATGAATGAATGAATGAATGAATAAATGAATGAATGAATGAATGAATGAATGAGCCTTTATTGATCTCTGGGGAGAAAGTTTCCATGGTCATCTTCATGGGTTGGCAACAAGTTCATCAGTTCTCTGTCTGTTTGTCTGTCTGTCTGTCTGTCTGTCTGTCTGTCTGTCTGTCTGTCTGTCTGTCTGTCTGTCTGTCTGTCTTCCTGCCTGCCTGCCCCTCTCTCTCTCTCTCTCTCTCTCTCTCTCTCTCTCTCTCTCTCTCTCTCTCTCTCTCTCTCTCTCTCTCTCTCTCTCTCTCTCTCTCTCTCTCTCTCTCTCTTTCTCATTCCATTCATTGCCCTTGTTTTTCCCAATAACAGTAATAACACACAACTGAAAGCCAGGAAAAGTGAAAGTCATTTTCCAATAATCCTAGTTTTGCTCCTCATGCATCACACTATACAACCACACACTCATCCACGCACACACATACACACACACACAAACGGGAAACATACACACTCAGACAAATCATGTACATAAATAAATACAGACATGCATATGCACAAACTCACACTCACACACCCATGGCACAATACTTTCACTATGATATGAGCAGACATAATAATGTGACCTTCCTATCACGATTCTGGTGTCACTACATGTACTTACTGAACTAAGAAGTAGCACTCCATTTTGGAGGCTCTAGTTGTTCAGTGGACAGAGAATCAAGTTTTATAAACAATTTCAAAGTTAACTCATTCGCTACGTATTATTTTCGGCTTGTGGACGAATTTTTTTTCGGGAGGGCGAATGAGATGATGACTAGTGGGCAGTCTTTGGGGCCACAGATTCAAATAAATATCAACGTATTATATACCAATATTTTCAGTATGGTTTGTAGAATACATCTGTAATGTTTATTTATGTATTTTTCAACTTTGGTTCCTGTAAGAGGCGATTATACAACACATTTTTGATTGGACCCAGATAAAATTTGAAAAAAAAATTTAATAATCTTTGGTGAAACTCAAAAAATATGTTTGCACCTAGTCAAATGATACATCAAAATAAACATAAATGAATGTAGAACTGGAAAATATTGAAACGTTTGCAGTTATTTACATACATTCCATAATATTTGTACATTTGGATCATAACATCCGATATTGAAAAAAAAATTAAAAATTTATAATCTTGAAAAACGAACACAAACAGAAAAAAACCTCGTATCTTGTTTGGAATTATTCAGAATTGCATTTGGAATAAACCTATACATGTCTTGAGAGGCACTTTTGTGTAATTTCATCAATAAGTAGTGATTTTGGGGAGAAAAAAATATTTTGATAATTTAGATCTAGATCTAGACCTAGATCTAGCACTCAAAAATATTGATTTCTCAATAACAGTGCATTGGCAATATGAGTCCAATCATTTAAATATTTATTTTAAAAAGTCCTACATTTCTTTAGTGGGCAAAATAATGATAGATTTTGTTGTGTAAAAGTATTAAAACTGGTGCCTGGGCTATAATTTTGGCATCGCGATAAAGCAAAGTCGAATAAACTATGAAATCGCGTTTCAAAACTGAATCTAAATTTCCGATTTTAAGTGAAAATGCTTGACTCGGAAGTCAACATTATATTATGACCTTTATTTTAACATGGATATGTGGATTGGAATAGAACCTAAGCTAAAATTGAAGAACGGTTCTCGAGCCGCTGGTGGCGGCTTAGCGTACTGACGGCACTTTAGCCGCCTCGCCCCCCATGGCTCGGCGTAGCGAATGAGTTAAAGATACCATTTTGATTGGGATTGGAATGAACTGGAAAAGAGACGTGCATTTGAGTGAGATAGATGATAACCCAAGCTAAAAAACCAGGTCTGCAGTAAAAGTGTGCTTATGATATTTGCATTGTTTGTAGCTGCTGTGATATTTTAATAATTTTATATTATGAGAGCTGTTGTTACTTATTCAAAGGCTACATTAAAGATAATACGCTATTGTTATTTCCTCTTTCTTTTATTCTTTTGAGCAACACCAAGAATAACGAACAGCAGGATTGTTTTTATCGTTTATAGTTTACCCACCACCAATTATCAGTTATTGCTCCTTTCTGTTCCAGTGATATTTTTTCTCCTCATCTTTATCTTCCCTTTTCTGACATCTTAGTTTCATTGAGGGAGGTTGACTTGACATAGTTTGAACTGCATGGACAATAATAAAACTAATTGCATTAATTATGCAACACATATCCATGCTCCACAGTCAACAGCATTTTCTGTGTGCTTTATATTATTTGTGAGGTACCGGTATTGTGGTAAAATCAGGCACTTGTCAAAACAACGAAAGGGAAGAGACCAAAATGTTCTCACTGTTTTGGCCATTTTTATCGAATTTTTGTTTTTTGGCTCAACGCCTTTTATGCCCATTTAAAACATTTTTGTATGGTTCCAACAGAAAAACGAAAAAAATGTAAATTTTCAGTTCCCAGAGACCCTCGAGATATCACCATACTTTGGCAGCCATTTTCTCGCTAATTTAAATTTACCTCTGAAACCTGGTAGCCCCCACCTCCTTCAATCACAAATATTTTGACTTCTATTCAAGATTGATGGGTATATTTTTAATCACAAGCAAGACAAATGAACAAGCTTGAAGAGATTATACCAATAACTCTATATGCCTAAAAATTAACGAGACCTCGATTCTACTGTGTCGTGACATATTTGTAAAGGAATAGTTACCATTGTTAAAAATGGTTACACACACATAGATCTGTGGTAGATATTCATCGCCCAGTACCTCATCACAAAATTTCCCAAACCCACGGACAGACGATGTGATCATGTGCTGCCAGGCCAAGATCATGCTGTCATTGATTGGATTTGCATAAACACCAAAGTGCATCCAGATTTCAACCATTCTTTTCCTTACACACAGAGTATGACACACTTCTTTTTTCTGCTTTCATATCCATTTATTTTAGGATTTCTTCAATAGTAGGACCACTGTTATAGTTTAGCATATCTGTCCAAATGTCTGCTAAAAAAGAACTTGTTTTTCTTTACATTACAAGATGTCGGACTTGGGGATTAATTGTAAGCCTGCTTTAGCTGAAACCCTGTTCTAACTATGACTGTTATAAGTGGGGCCCACTGTAGAGATTGTTGAGGCAGAAAACTCTATGAAATGTCGTATTGGGCCAGGAGGCCATAGTTTGTCCCTGTCTGTTCTAAGTTAACATACCACACTGAACAATGGAGCTCCTCTCATCATGTTCTGCCAAAAGACCTCCACAATCACCTCATATCCATTTGCGCACAAAGAGATTGTGGGCAGGAATTCATTGAGGTTTGTTTGAGTGTAGTAAGCAGTTCCCACAGGGCGAAAATTCTTTGTGAACAATGCCACAGACATTTCTTTGGCAAAGGCCTCCATTTCCACACCAATGATATCACCTGCATGTGGACACACGAAGACAAAGAGGTTAGTGTATGGATGGCCACATTTTGTCATTTGGAAATTGTATTTTTCATGGATCTTATATTTGTTTCTTCAGCACAATAACATTCTATGGTGTCTGTGCCACTTTGAAATTGTATTTTTCATAGATTTTATTTTATTCTTTCCCACAATAACATTCTATGATGTCTGCCTCAAAGAGATTATTAATATAATCATTATCATTACTTTTATCATTTCATGCTGTCTGATTCATTTCAAGAGACCAAATTTTATTTCAAGACTCATAATTTGGAAAGCACACGATCATAAGATAATTAAAAGTGTCCTCACCAACTTGATATCTCTCTCCAGAGAGATTCCCATCATGCCTTGTGTTTCTGTACATCTTCCCATCTTTAGATGTCCAGCCAACAGATGGGCGAGTCTTACCGGGATATTTATTTAGAGGAAACTCGTGACTTGCAACACCAACACCAATACCTGAGTCTTCACCTGGTGGAAGGATAGAATCATAATTGCCAATCATTTCCTGCTTACTGTATCTTATGAAATAGTTGAGTCCATGAGGCAATGTTGGATAAATTCTTATACTGATATAATACAGTCGAACCTGCCCTGACGGCCACCTCTATAAGACGGCCACCTGTACAAACGGCCATTTTCAATTTCCCCCCTTGCGTTTTTTCTATATAATTTAACTGTATAAAATGAGCACCTGTCCAATGCGGCCGCAGCCACCATATTTTAACACACAACCCCTATCACACTAAGCAATAACACCTGTCTTAGACGGCCACCTTAGTGGCTCCATTATGTTTTGTCAAAAATTGTGCATTGGCCCCTGGCGTTGTGGGCGAGCCGTCATAATCCAATCACCTGTCGTTGTTGTTAGGTAGTCCTTCCAACCGATCATGTTACGTAGGCCCCTCCTACTGTTGACCAATAGCTACCAATTTTCAGCTGCTCGTGAGGTAAGCGTGTGATCCCTCATAACCCATAAGCCCTGCCCAGAACTCGTACACAATTCGTAAGGGAGATGAGTGGTCACTGTTTACCCAGTCTGTAACAAAGTAACAAAGGACGTCAACATGAGCTTGTGACAGAAGCGTCGCTTGTTCTCCGAGTGGTGGCAACCCATGTGTTTGTTTTAACATGGCACTCGGTCTTCCTAGTCTGATAAATTTCATTTTATTGTCTCTCTTGTGCAAAATCAGAAACAAAATAAAAATTACAAACAAAATACAAACCACCACCAACAACAACAACAACAATGCGGCTACTTTCGATTGGGACCTCAGATGGGAATGGTTTGTTTTCTTCATCTTGATCAGACTGCCTAAGACGCCACCTGTCTTATACGGCCACTTTTCTCCTTGACAATGGGTGGCCATCTTACACAGGTTTGACTGTATATAGGCCCCAGCACTTTAATTAAAGTAGAAAAAAAAAGCCTGTAAATTAAGTACAGAAGTTTGCTTGGTGCAGCTTACTATGAAATTCCTTTTTCTCCTTCAGCCATTATTTTTTCATAGTAAAAAAAAATTACTTCTTTTTCAGCGCTGTTGCCCAGTCAGCACAAGTTACCAAAGGCTAAGATCAGACTAAACTATAGATTAATTTTAGTGAATTTTTATCCTTCTTTAGAATTTTGCTTTGTCAGCATTATCTTCAGGAATTTAGAGGGAAAATTCCGATAATTCAATTGACCATCACACAACATCGTCTTTGTACTGGTAGAGCTTATTAATCTCACAAGTCTCTCATTAGCACCTGGTGTTAATTCCTGTTTAAGTGACAGAAGGTAAACAGTGATGACCTTGTGTTCAAGAGCTCTGTAGCTCAGTGTGAAATAACTGGAGCTAATGGTGTATCCCACAGATGGTCTATCCAGCACAACAAACTAACATTGAAAAAAATCCATAAAAATGACAAAAATCTGTCAAATAGCTCCTGTTACATTACATCAAAACAACTTTTCAAAATCCACCTAACAAAAAATGTACACTAAAGAATACAAATCATCAAGTTAATTACTCAGCAGTTTTGAGCAATGTCACTATTCTACATATATACCAACTCAGTGTTATAAAATCTGTCAGCAGGGCCTGAAGAAAAGGGAGAATAAATTCATTTATAGCACCATTTATCCTTTAATTTCAAGTCTACCACTTTCGGGGGAAAACGTAGAAATGAAACTCACTGAGCTGCCGCACACGGATCAAGAAAAAGTTGCTGTTTTCTGTGAGAGGTTTCTTTAGCTGCACTGTGTGGATGCCAGGTTTATCAGCAGGAAGACGTAACGTTGTAAACTGATCAGTAATAGTGACTTCTACGGAGTCAGTCTTGCGTAACATGGATTCTTTGACAACTGAAATGATACAGAGTGCAGAAAATACAGGATAACAACAGACATGGTTCGGTAATGTAATGGAGAAAAATAGGACATTACGAAAATATATTGACGTGAAAGTAATGCAAGATGTAAACAGTAGAAAAAGTTCAGTATTACAATAATAAATGATGAAAAAGTACAGCATTATTTTTCTTGACAAGGTAGAAAAGTATGCTTTTGAAAATGTGCTGATAATATAGTGGGTTACAAATCCAAAGAAGTGGGCCTAATCCTCACCACAGAATACAATAAAACGACTTTGAAGATAGTATTTATAGAAGAAAAAAAAATGCTTTGCATTGAAAACTGGGTAGTAGACCAACAAGCAAACATTTAGTACTGTTCAAGGGATAAAAGATGTTGAAACTTGAATATAGTTCTTGGATGATGACGAAGTGGTAAATGGTGAAGTATGCCTATTCTTTGTAAATAAAAGGGTAAAAGTAAACTTTGGCCCCTGATTTGGAACTTGCTGGACCTAATATACACATCTGGAGTATTCACTTTCCATATATAGTCACATTTGGGCCACTGTGAAAGACGCTTTGAAGAATGGGGGTCCAAAAGAACTTTCACCAATAAAAGAAATATGTTCGCAGACTCAACTCAAAAGACTTCGTTCTAAGTTATAAGTTGACATAAGTAGGCCTGCAAAGCTCATTAAATATACACTAAAAACCTTTGATCAAAGGCAACAAAAGGTAAACTTGGGGTTTCCAAGGACACTACAGCTTTGAAAATCATTAAACTTTGGCAGCCATGTTCTTGTTAATTTGACCTCTGACCCCCTCCTCTTTCAATCGCAAATATCTCTACTTCTGTTCAAGATATGGCTACTTTTTGCATAAAACACAAGGCAAAAGGAAAGGCTTTAAGATTATACCAATTTCTCTATCCCTAAAAACTGACCAGTGCGCCAGATTTTACTGCGCCGTGACACATGGAATTTATGAAAGCACACAGACCATAAAAATTTGAAAGTTTGTATATTTCTGAAGTACCTCCAATAAAACATTTTTCAAAACCTGCTCACCTCTTTCTCTTAAATCATCTTGCAGAATTTTCTTAGCTGCAGCTAGCTCCTTTTTGAACTGGTTGTCCATTTGATGAGTGAGTAGAGGTTTTGGGTTTGACTCAACATCAATAGTGACTTTGGAAGCTGCAATAATGTATGGCAAAACAAGATGATTAAATTAATTTCATAATAACTGTTCTCATAACTTTTTTTTTTTAAAGCTGAGACAGAACAAAAATGCAAAGATTAATCAATGGTATTACAAATGTATTCCTAAATATTTAAGGTTCTGGGAATATGGAAAGCAACTTTAAATTGTGTTCATTCCGCGAGGAAAAGTATTTGATATGGCAAATAAAGAGAGAGAGAGAGAACTCTTAGCATCACAATTTAGTAGGTTAGCAACAAAAAAAGTTCAGAATATTCATGAACAACTTCCACACTACATCACATTAGAAGATACAGAAATGTATGATTTGGTCACTAAACATTTCTGTTTACCATCCAGCCCAATTTGCTAGTCTGTCAGAAAAACTAAAGGAAGACCAGAGCAATGAGCAGAGGCAGATACTCTGAAAACTCAGGGCTTGTCTGAGCAATGCTGCACATGCATGTCAATGTCTTCCCTTGACAATTTATTAAGTGGACAAAAAAGGTAAAAAATATATACAGTCAAACCTGTGTAAGACGGCCACCCATTGTCAAGGAGAAAAGTGGCCGTATAAGACAGGTGGCCGTCTTAGGCAGGACTGATCATGAAGAAGAAAACGAACTCTTCCCATCTGAAGTCCCAATTGAAAGTAGCCGCATTGTTGTTGTTTTGTTATTGTTGTTGGTTTGTATTTTGTTTGTAATTTTTATTTTGTTGCTGATTTTGCACAAGGGGGACCATAAAACGAAATGTATCAGACAAGGAAGACCGAGTGCCACGTTAAAACAAACACATGGGTCGCCACCACTCGGAGAACGAGCGATGCTTCTGTCACAAGTTTATGTTAACGTCCTCTGTTACTTTGTTACAGACTGGGTGAACAGTGACCACTTATCTCACTTACGATTTGTGTTTGACTTCTGGGCAGGGCTTATGGTTTATGAGGGATCACACGCTTACCTCACCAGCAGCTGAAAATTGGTAGCTATTGGTCAACAGTGGGAGGGGCCTACGTAACATGATCGGTTGGAAGGACTACCTGACAACAACAACAAGTGATTGAATTATGACGGCTCGCCCACAACGCCAGGGGCCAATGCACAATTTATGACAAAACGAAATGGAGTCACTGAGTGGTGGCCGTCTAAGACAGGTGTTATTGCTTAGTGTGATAGGGGTTGTGTGTTAAAATATGGTGGTCGCGGCCGCGTTGGACAGGTGCCCGTTTTACACAGTAAAATTATACAGAAAAAAAGCAAGGGGGGAAATGGAAAGTGGCCTTTTGTACAGGTGGCCGTCTTATAGAGGTGGCCGTCAGGGCAGGTTTGACTGTATGTGAAAGTTCAAGCATAGTTTAGAGTCAGATCTTCAGTTACCAGTTATGCACATTACTCACCACCTTCCTTTAATAAGACCAAAGGATAAAATCCCCCTTCAGGCTGCATCATCATTTTCCCTGAGATGATATCCAAGTTTGCTGTAACATAGCAGTAAACCAGCTGCTCTGCTTTAGGATTAAAGTCTGGCAGATTGCGAGTTTCAGGATTGTAATGAATGCCCCATCCAATCCTTTGACCTAACAGATGGTGTTGGACTGAAGAAAAAAGAACATAAAGGTATCTGAACTTGAAACGTCATGAACTTCTGGACAAGCGGTTAATATCTCTTTTTGTCAAGGATATCAAATTAGAAAAATAGATACTGGATCAAGCACATCAAACTTCATAGAATTGCTATTTGAGAAAGAAGCGTATAACTGTATTTCTAGAATGTTGAAAGTAAGGGCTGCAGATGTCAGTTGATAAAAATTGCACAAGATAACAATAAGCAAACAAGAATGAACTGCAAGACATAGCAGGCTTTGAAAATTGGGTTTAAAATGACGACCTACTTTCAAAAGAACTTACGTAAAGATATTGTATTCCTCAGACAAAACATCATTAAAATAAAATACGACACCAGTACATGCGCTGAGAATTCCATGTAATTAAACTGTAGGCCTACTGAATATATAAAGAAAAATTTAATGAACCTTGCTTAAAGGGAAAATATACAAACACACACAAATGTACAGGATGGTTGATATATATGTCACCAATTAATAAACTACTGCAGTCACTTGTTTAATGACTTATGCTAACAACAAAATTGGAGATAAATATCATACTATGCGTTTTTTCAGTGTCTCACCATCAAAGTCCAGGTCAAATCGAATGTAATCTTGGGATAATGTGGACGAAGGAGATGGCACTAAGGGACTGCATGTGGCAAGGGAAATAGAGGGCCCCGGGCAGTCATTTCCAGCCTCTTGAATGATGACTTCAAAGTGCTGTATTTCTGAAGACAAGTATAAGTGGTTGGTTGGCGGGTGTTCTGGTGTGGTTTGTTCCTTCTTTCACATCAAACATTTATCGATTTATCGTTCTTATCCCTCCTCCTACTTTTTTTTAGCTTGATTACTCTCTTGTAACACCTCTAATCTTTGAGATTTATATGTCCTAATCATGTTGTAAAAGCTGTAAAAGTCTTACTAAAACAAGGACAACAAGTATAATAAAAAATTAACACCCATGTGGGCAGTACAGTAGTCTCCGCCTAAGATCCCGGTGCTCGGGAGCAAGGAAATGCGGGATCTAAGGAGAACTGGGATCTTAACCAATGAACCCAGGGAAGAATCTATGGAGACCCATGTTAAGGCTCACAATCGGTAAAACGGTCTGCCTCCACCCTACAATGAACTGGCGTGACCCCTTGGTGGGTTTATGACTTATGGCGGGCAAACAGTGGTTAACCTTGATGACCTAACACAGTGTATAGTGGGATGAGGCGTGCCATTTTCACTTATTATCCTATCATGAGTCTCAAGATCTAAGCTTATCCAGTTGCCCCTCCTCTTTACCTGTCAAAAATGTATAGCTTTCCATCTCTGACCGAGTCCCCCCCCCCCCCCCCTCCAAACCGCCTTTGTCGTTACACACCATTACGTTGTGAACGCACCAATTAAAATTCAGTCTGTCTCGCAAATTCGGGAGTAGAGACAACTGCTGCAATGGTCAAGGAAGAGTTCACGGTTCGATGTGATCCCGCCTGGAGAGAACGTGTAGGCCCTACCTACCCAGCGAGTGATGTAAGTTTAGGGGGCGAGCTCAGGTGTGAGTGCGACATGTGAGGAAAACAAACGTGTCGGTCAGTTCACACCCCGGTGTGATCCCGTCTGGGGCAAACATTGTATCGCTTCATCGAGTTTTACAACGTGTATGTGATCACATTCACGATAGTGGCTGATCTTTGATGCGACGGACAGTTTATTGATCTCAACTTTTCACTCTTGGTTGATCGGCTGTCCCGCCCGGGTTTTTGTTTAGCAAATTATGATCTGAAATGCGGGATCTTAGCCGAATGTAGACCATCAGAGCGGGATCTTAGGGGTGACTTTTGTATAGTAAAAATTCTGTTTTCCTAAAACAACGGGATCTTAAGCGAACCGGGATCGTAAGCGGTGGGATCTTAGGCGGAGACTATTGTACTTAGATATTTTATCACCTCAAAGTAAAAAGTAAAGTTGTTCCCGCATCCGAACCGGACATTGGGGATTGCCTTGTTGGTGAGACAACTTCCTGGGCCTTCCACATATTGTGGTGGGGCGGCCAGTTCCCTTCAATGCTGCCTTTACTTCCCCAAATCGAAGTACCCATTACTGCTGGGTGGGCAGGAGGGGGCAAAAAAAAATCTGTGTCTGAACAGAGGCTCGAACCCGGACCTTCTGCTTCCGAGACAAGCGCACTAACTGCTCCGCCACCGCACCCTCAGTCACCTCAAAGTACTTATCATTTAATAATCATACTTTAAAATGAGTAGTACGATAGGTGGGTATTCAAAACAACATCACTGAATGGTGCAGGGAAATTTGACATGAGTCATAGAAAAGACAACAAGAACATAAAGATAGGATGGAATGAGACACAACACTGGCTACATCTCTCCTTCCCCCCCAGGTCAACATAACTTTGAACTACTTAAAACCCCCCCCAAAAAAACAATAAAACAAGCACATAAATAATAAAATAAAGAGATATTGGTGTCACAGTCAGATGGTAGCTGGGTGCAGTATATATGAAAATTGTGTCTTATGAAATACTGAGGAGTCTAGCATTAAAAAAGAGCAAACAGGTTAAGTATTCAAAGCTCTTTCATACCTAAAGAGAGTGGATGAGGGCTCTGTATTATGAGTTCTCCTGTGATCTTATCCTTGCCATTATAGATAAACATGTTTGAAAGAACGTCATAGTTGACAGATACGGGACGGATCCAATGTAGCATATTTTTCTGAAAAAAACCAACAAAATCAAAGCACTATAAAAATCATAGAAAACAAAAATTGATTCAGTGGAAAACAGAAATTATAATACAAAAATAATATGGTCCGTTGACTTACTTTCGTAAAAAAAAAAATTCATTTGGATCTAGTGACCCAGGAATGTCAACAGGCGTACTGCCTGGTTTCGAAGAAGAAAAACAGAGAAACTTAACTGATTCAGCCTGCAGCACCGTTCACAGTGGCTGATAGTCCCCTGCATTTTGATGCGGGTGGCTGTATCTATTGCTCCCTTTCTTCACATTGCCTTCCTCTCTTCTGTTTCCCTTACCACTTACATTCCAACTCGTTTTTCTGGTGTCATTGAATAGTATTTTTTATTCTGAACATTTCTATATGCCACACACAGGGTTTTGATCAAATTTAGATATTTCTTTAACAACTTTATAGGAGATCACCCTTAAAGTCACGAAGCGGTCACAAATTATTTGCGTCCGGAGTCAAAATTATCTGCGGGCTCAATCAGTTAATAAAGTACAGAGCACATGACTGGCTTTGTGTTTAACCAGTTGCCACCTGATGATGGCCACACAAATTCATTGATTACAGACATGTAAAAGGTAAATTCAAATATACAAGAATGAAACAAAAAACAATAATTTGTATAAGTTGGTATGCCAATACAAAAAGAAGATGAAAATGCTGTGAAATAGAATAAAAAAATAACTTTTGAAATACAGTTGATGAACTTGTGTGAGACAGTCTCCCACTATCGAGGAGAAAAGTGGCCGTCTAAGACAAATGGCCGTCTTCGGCATACTAATGAAAATGAAGAAAACAAACCATTCCCTTTGGAGATCCCAATCGGAGGATTTTGTTGTTGCTGCTGGTTTTGTTTTTTGTTTGTTTGGGTTTTTTTTGTGTCTATTTGTTTTGGGTTGTTTTTTTTAAGGGGATGGGGGTTGTTTATTTTTTCTTAACATTCCTTTCTGAGTTCCCAACTGGAGTTGGTTGCTGGCTCAGAACATCAATTCCATTTTTACCTTGAAGCCGTCAACAACAACTGGATTTATCTGAAAGCGTGAAACATTTTTGTTTACGCAGAAAGACAAAGTGACAAATGTTAAATTCTACAGAGAGTATCAAATGAGGAAGACAGTATGCAAGGGTAAAACAAAACTAAATGTGTCAGACGAGGAAGACAAGGTAAAATAAAAAATTGGGTCGTCATCACTCGGACAATGAGTGACGCTTTTGTCGCAAGCTCAGTGACCGGACGGGGCTTACAGGTTATGACAGACCATATGCTTCCCTTACCAACAGGTAAAAAAATGTATTGTTACTGGGTGGTCAACTTGGGTGAACAACAGTGGGTGGAACCTACTCAACATGACTGGACATTGGAGGGACCAATAACAAGGATAGGTGAATGGATTATAACTGCTCGTCCACAGCGTCAGGGACCAAAACATAAATTATGACAGAGCGCCGAGCAATTAGAAATTTAGCTGGTCATTGTGGTTGATCGTTGTTAAAACAGGGTGGCCGCGGCCAAGTTGGACAGGTGCCCATTTTACACGGTGAAATCATATTAAAAAAACGCAAGGGGGGAATGAAAAGTGGCCGTTTGTACAGGTGGCTGTATTATACAGGTGGCTGTCATGGCAAGTTCGACTGTAATGACATGTGTACACCTACCTCACTGTACGTAGGTACCCCCATTGCTGCTTCAGGCCACATAAGACCCAAGTCAATGGGCCCATTCTCCAAAGATATAGTAGGAAGGTACCGACTGTGATTAGGCTCAAACAGAAACCTGAAAACAGTTATTTATGGAACAATATGAGCACCTCTCATCTATCGGTAAGTTAGTGTCTTAGCTAAATGTAGTCTTACAATGCTGTTTGCACATAAATGCCATTCTCTTCCCTTCTTTGTGAGAAGACAACAGCCTACCCTGTCTCCAGCTATGTGTTCATGTGCAGATATTCCGACCACTTGCTACCAAGCCGCAAAAAGAACAATCTCAAAAAGAGACTTTTATGATATATTGACTAGGCCTACTTTGACACAAAAATAGAAGAGCTGATAAGAACAAACATTATTACAGATCTCTTAAACCTATTCCAGAAGATCTGACTTACTGATTATGCTAAAATTTTCAAGATCATAAAACAAAGCAAGGAATATTATTACTTTTTTCATTGAAGTAATTTCATCATAGTACGAGAAGTCTGAGTAATATATTTATTATAGCACTGACCTGAAGAATTGAATAATCAATTGTGTTGTTTGTACTTTGCATCTTCTAACACTGACATTGATCATTTCTACACTACATTCAACAAAAATAAAAAGGGACCCCAAATAAAAAATGACTCATGAAAATTGTACCAAAAACAGGGCTTCCAACACAAATAGAATTTTTCACGTTTATGAAATACAATCATGTTTGAATACTAAGCAAACTTATATAGCCCCAAAAAAGAGCTAAAAAAGGTTTTGATTCTAAGAAATGGACAATCAAAATCACACCTATGAGAATAATTATAATCACCTTGTTGCGACGGGAGAGCCATTTTTCAAGAAAATTACTGTGGACCTTTTTTCTCCAAAGTATGTGACTAGAACTCCAAAGACATCTCCTGAGAAAAAAAAAAATTGAAGAGTGAATTGAATAATAGGATGCTGGTTTAGTTGAAGGTCAAAATGCTATGGTAGTCCACCATAAGTTCTGCCTGATCAACCATGGTCTGATGTGACCTTGTGTAGGGTAAGCCCCACATGACTGGCTATGATAACAACAGTGCTAGGTGCGTTTAGATCAAAGGTGGTGGCGTTACACAATCACTGTGTATGGATGTTAGGATTGTTTCACTTTGCGGTGTAATTTAAATCCAAGAATTTGGCTGCATTAAAGGTTACAATTATCAAGAAAGTTCCCCAACTTTCTATCCCCCCCCCCCCCA